TTTTTTCTCTCTTATTTATAATACTATAAAGAAATATCTAAATATAGATTTTATAAATTTAACCTTGACGACCATCGTATCATTTATCGAGAAAGAAAGAAAGAAAAGAAAAAAAAAAAAAAAAAATGTTTAACACAAGGAGGACAAAAGAGAAACGCCATGGCGAATAATGTCGCCATTTTGCTTCTATTCTCCACCTTAACAATCGACGCTCCAATCCGGCGCTTTGTTCCCGTGAACGTCAATGATTGGTCACTACGGTACAGGTGGAAAATAGGCACCGCCCAATTTTCTCACATTCTGATGTCTAATTGGTTGTTCGATTTTTTGCAAGATGGACATTTCAGAGGAAAGAAAAACAAGAAGCGAGAAAAAAAATAAGATGTACAAACGAAGAGAGAGAAAGAAAGAGAGAGAGAGAGGGAGAAACATCTGTGATACTTGAAGTAGACCCGATAATCGATTGAAAGAAAACAAACTTACACAAATAAATAAATAAATAAATAAATATAAAAATGAAAGGGATTACAAAGAAAAACGTAATCGATTGTTTCATTGGCATTTACATGCATAATTCAAAGAAACTTCTATTTCCCTTCGTTGTAACCTTTTGACAGGCGTGACCGGCTGCAGCGTTTCGTTAACATTCAAACAGCTGTTCCACGCTATCTTGTTAGCTTAAGTGGACTTCAAACCATTAAGAAATGATGAAACATACATACTTACCTATGTGTGTGAGTCGAATCAAATTTCCAAAAAAAGAAAAAAAACAAAAAAAAAAAAAACACGAGGTGACTACGAATGTCAATGAATCACGTAATCATCTACATATTATCGATTGAACGTAATCAATTCCTTCACAATTTAAATCATTAAGATTCATCTTTGCTCTCTATGCTTTATTTTAAATGTTACTTTTCCGTCGCGCAAAGTTGCATTTATCGTATTGTCCTAGCACGCGAAATAGCCGTACGTTCTAAATTCACTGTAGCACGAATGAGTATGTAGAACGTAGAAGAGAGGGGGAACATCTCTCTCTCTCTCTCTCTATTTCTTTTTCTATTTCTTTCTCTCGCCCTCACACATAAACACGCACACATGCTCTCTTTCTCTATCTCTGTCTCTTTCTCTCTTACTCTTACTATTTCTTTCTTTCTCTCGTACACACTTCTTCTTTTTCTCTCTTACTCTTTCTCTTTCTCTCTCTCTCTCTCTCTCTCTCTCTCTTTCTTACTCTCTATCTTTGGAAATAGAATAATTTTTTTTCTTTTCACTTGTTCAGCCGTTTCAGGGTCCGTTGAGTAGCTTTGAAATTGGCACGCAGGATGATTTTAGCTATTCGAAAGTTAAAAAAACAAAAAAAAAAAAAGAAAAAAAATAAGTAAGAAGAAAAAAGAAAAAATGTAAAAGAGATAAGTGTAGAGAGGATGAAAGGAAGGAAGAAAGGATGGATGGATGGATGGATGGATGGATGGATGGATGGATGGTTGGGGTGAGGGGCGCGAAGAGAAAAAGAGAGCGTCATCTTCGGTCTCGTTGGCGCCAACGCGAGAAAAAGCTTGCATAATCCAATTTGGTCTATATCTATCGTCTTGAATTTCGGTTTGTTTGAAGAAAATTCTTCCGGATAAAATTGTTTCGTTACGATTCCACATTTATATGATTTTTTTTCCAACTCTTCTCTTCTTCTTCTTCTTCTTTTATCTTTAATTTTTATCTTTAAAATATCACTTAATATATACATATATATATATAATGAAATTATTAAAAAGTATTCATATATATATATATATATATCAGGATATTATTGTAAAGAGATTTTGTAGGATTTAACATCATTTTTTTTTTTTTCGTCGTGAGAATATTTGAACGCGAAAGATAACGATCAAAAATAAATGCATCCCTTTTTTTATATAGGCAAACATAGATAAAAAGAGAGGACATTTCTCTTCATTAACACATGCTTCATCAGAAAATGTTTAATGAATTACACGGTCATATATCAGTTTACATATACAGACGTAAAATGTTTCTTTAATGAACTGATTTATACACGTAGATGAAAAAAGAATGCCATCGAGTGAAACCGGAAATGCTTTCTTTCTCCATAACAATTTGATCGAAATTTTGGATTTCGAATTTTCGATATTCGGATATTTGGATGGGATATTTCAAATGTTGTAAATAAACTGATAAATTATTATAAAAATGATATGTAAATAAATATGTTTTATTTATAAATTTAATTTAATAATGTTATATATATATATATATATATATATTAATTCGAAATTTTATTATTCGAATGTGAATTCAACATTTTTTTTTCCATATGAATTCAATATTCATTGTTTTATTCTAATTAAATTTATCCACTATACTCCAATGTTATATTCATTCTTTGTAGTTGGTAAAATTATGGAAGGAACCACGATTGGCAGATATAATCATCGAAATTTAATTCCCATCCTCCATTCGTTATCATTTCTCCTTTCTTCTTTTTTTTCGTTTTTTTTTTCTTATCTTTTGTTTTGTTTTGTTTTGTTTTGTTTTCTTTTCTTTTCTTTTCTCTTCGTAAACTTAGTTACAAAAATATCACATGCGATAGCGTTGATCATTAATTTTAATTATTCCAGTGTCATTAATTTGAATTATTCCAATGAAATAACTAATTCGCAGCTGCTATAATACTTGATTAGCGTATTATATATTCATTCCTGGCTGAAAAAAACTTATCTAAAAAATTAATAATATACATTACAATGTCAAATACAATTTCTTTGACAATTTTCATTGCTAGATTCACATTGATCGTATATATCATTCGTGAGAACATAATACGAATAATTTTTCTCCATATTCATGACCTTCTTCTTCTTTTTTTTTTTTTAACAATTTCATCGACGACGAAATCTTATTAAGTTTTATCATTTTACCAACTTATTAAATTTCTTCATTAATAATAGTTCTGCCGATTAATATTCTTCATTTTATATTCCTTATCGTATTTACATATTCAATTGCATCAATCAATCAATAAAATTCCAACATTTAGATTTATGTGTAATCCATTTTCGATTTTAAGTAATTCCATTAGAATTAATTATCTTATAAGGATTATTACAATTGTTATTATTATCATTATTATTATTATTATTATTATTATTATTATTATTATTAAAAAAATAAAATTAAAATTATATTATATAATTTAAAGTTAAAAATAAAACAATTATGTTCTATTTATTTGCACTACTTATTTCGATTCAGTATATATATTTTTCAAAAATTCAACATCAATGTTTATATAATTATCACGATAAATCAAATAAAATTTGCTCTCATTGAAAATAAATATTTGTTATAAGGGAAATTCTATATTTTAAATATATTAAAATTGAAAATACTATTTACGTATGGAGAAATATTTATAAACTTAACGAACTTTAAAGCAAGCACAAAGCCAGAAAGAGAAAGAGAGAGAGAGAGAGAGAGAGAGAGAGAAAGAGAGAGAGAAGAGATTATCATTAATTTTAAATTGAAAATAAAATAAATAGATAATAAAAAAAAAGAAACAACAAAGAATCCCTCACCATTTTATACGTCGTTATTTCTTCCATATCACAATGCAGCACTTGAAGTAGAAAATTGACATAACGTGTGGCCGTGGTATCAACATTTGTATCACCCTGTACATACGATACTTATATAATATTAGGCTTTATTTCGTTTTTTTTTTTTTTGTTTTGTGAAAATGAAAGACAATTTTTGTATAATGAATAAATATTTTATTAAATTATATATTGGCCATTATGGTCCAATATCTTTTTTTATGATTCCATGCTCATAAAATTTTTAATCTTCTACTGACAAAAAACTGATCGAGGTGGTTTTTGACCTCCTCATTTAATATTTTACCGTCTAAAAAATTGTGCAGTGACCGGAACAAATAATAATCCGAAGATCCCAGATGTGGAGAATATCGTGGATGTGGCATTGTATCCCATTCAAGCTACACAAATTTTTGGCGAGAGATCAAATTTGTATGAGGTCTCGCATTATTTTAGTGGAATACTACACCTTTTCTGTTGAATTAATTCTGGCCTTTTCTGTTGAAGTACATCATTCAGTTTGTCCAGACTGATGACAATAGACTTCCGAATTAATTGTTATGTTATCCGATGAAATCTTAAAAAAAAAAAAAGAAAAAACGATTCGTTGAAAATTCCAACAAACAGGCAGCATCAGCTTTTTTTTTTTTTTTTTGATGAATATTGGCTTTGGAAATGAGCCGGTTCATCTTTTTTGCTCTATAACCTCTTGCGTTTGACATTGTTATATCCATTCGATTTTTCGTCCCTAGTAATGATGCGCTTCAAAACTGAATCATTTTCTTGACGTTTGAAAAGCGAATTACAGACGTCAACGCGACGACACAAATTTCTCTCCGTGAGAACATGGGGAATCCATATATCGAGCTTTGAGATTATAAACCCAATCCTTTCAAGTGATCATAAACAATTGAACTTGATAAATTTTAAGAAAAATTTTACGTATTGTTATTCGTCGATTTGCATCAACTAATGCCTTTAGCTTCAACCGGCCTTCCAGAACGTGATGCATATTCGACATCAAAATTGCCGAATCGAAATTTTGCAAAGCAATTCTGGTACTGAAATACTGTTAACGCATCCCATACACATCGGTTAATTTCTTTCTGGCTTGAACAGCATTTTTATCTTTTCTATAATAAAAAAGTAAAATATGACGAAAAAGCTGCTTGTTGTACTCTATATTGAAAAGGGCACCAACCAAAAACCTCTGCGTAGAATCAATTGGACTTTTTTACATACAAGCCTTGCTATATCAGCTCTCAAAACGTATAAGGATTATATGGTTTAAATATGAAGTTAGGTCCAAAAAAATACAATTAAATTATCTGTCAAGGGAAAAAACAAAATTACTTTCCGAACAACCCGATATACAGATCGAACATTTCAATAAATTCTTCATTATATTCAAGCACACTACTGCATTCATAACTTACTCATGTATTTAAATGCCAATCGCCCTCCATACGCCAAACACTAAACGCGTAAGACAATTTTTCATGTATCATATTATTGCATGATAATGACTTTATTCCTTTTGAAGATAATATTGCATTTCTTGAATTCTTTTCTTCTGAAATATTAAAAATATAATTTAATTGAAATGACGTTTACCATAGAATAACTTATTAATCGTTTGATCACGTATAATAGAAAATTAATAAAAAAATATAATGAAGATATTACAAATGAAGAAAAATATAACAATAACAAATGGAAAATGAAAAATATATAATAAGATTAATATGATTTATGATATATCGGATATATATAGAAAGAAAAAGAATTCGAACTATATTTGATGAATGAATAATTTTCAAAGACAATCACGTAATCAAAAATCAAAATGAAATAAAATAATTACGATAATTCGAGTGAAACAAAAGTTACAATAATTCGATGAACGATTGTAGATAAAAAGAAATTGAATTGATATTGAAAAATTTCTTTTATGAACGAAATATACGAATTTTGTTTTTTTACAAGAAAGAAATAAAAACGAAAGGAGAAAGAAAGAAGAAAAGAAAAGAAAAGAAAAAAAAAAAACAAAAAGAATAAGAGGAAACAAAATAATATTGAATTCAAAGAATTGTAGCATATCTTTGTAAGAAATCTAACAATTTACTAATGATATCTAATTTACTTCAAAACTTTTGCCGATCTCAGATAATAAACAGATTAAAGATAAATATAATTGATCTATACTCGTATTGTATCGTAATAATTTTATATGTCAAACTCTTATCCATTATTGATTTTTTATGTAATTTTTATATTTATCATTAATTTTCTAATAAAGCTTCGAACAATCAATGTTTATGTTACATTTCTTTCTTTTTATTTATTTTTTTTTTTTTTTTGGACTTATAGAACATACTGACAATGTTTACCTATTAAAGCCTGAAACACCCTATACACACACACACACACACACACATATATATATATATATATTTCAAAGTTTGTTTGGAAGTTAGTAGAGCATTTTTGGAAGAAGTTAAAACGATGCATACAAATAAGTGGCACTAGGATAGCACGCTCGTTCAAGCCTTTACAGAGAACCATAAATTACAAGATTCCATCGCGAGTGATTGTTTAATTAGACTACATCGTAAATAAGCACGGTTCCCATAAACATAAACTCTCGATGCTTCTGTATGTATGTAAGTTACTAAGATGACGAAGGATAAAGCATACGAGAATTGTGAGAGTTTCTTTCTCTCTTTTTTTTTTTTTATCTACGAACAACGTTTAAGTTTTTTTTCCTTTTTTTTCTTTTTTTTTTTTTTTTTTCATAGAAAAGTAAAAGATTGGAGATAAGATTTACGTTTTGATAATAACGTTTCTAAAAGTGAGCTTAGATATAGACACAGAAAGAGAGAGAGAGAGAGAGAGAGAGAAAGAAAGACTGTAATTGATATTAGAACGAAAATAAAACATGAATGGATATTATAGTATAGTGATAAAAATTCTTACCATTTTCTTCCTCATTGTTTTTGATATTACAACGTAACACTTGATATAAAAAATCTATATAACGTGCGGCAAGTTTCAAGGTTTGAATTTTACTCAGTTTATCGCTTGGCAATGTAGGAATGACCTTTCTAAGTGCACCAAATGCTTCATTCAAGCTCTGAGTTCTTTGCCGTTCCCTGACATTCGCCATTACTCTTTGATTCTGCATTTCCTTGCAAGTAACGCAATTCTTTTTACGAACTTTTTTTTTCGTCAAAGAAGAAGAAAAACAAACAGAAGAGTTATTTAGAACCTTCATGTCTCCTACAATAATATCCTTTCTTTTTTTTTTCTTAATATTTTCATCGGCAAATAGTTTCGTCGACGATGTTAGGTTTTGATTAATCTCTTTATAATTACTCTGTTGTTGTTGTTTTTTTCGTTGTTGTTGTACATGTCGTTTCTGTAGCTGTTGCTCTTGTTGTGATTGTTGCTGTTGTTGCTTTTGTTGTTGTTGTTGTTGTTGTTGTTGTTCTTGATTAATATTATTCATTTTATATTTTTGCAATCTGTCGAATTTATAATTTGAATGTTGATCATTTTTCATAACTAAAGAATACATTTGTTTTGGTGCTGAAAATATTAACGTATTATTGTACATTTTACTATCATTAAAAGAAAAAAAAAAAAAAAAAGTAAGAAAAAAAGAAGAAAAAAAAGGCATTTGTATATCGTTCAAAACTTTATAAAACTTCGTCATCTTAATCACTCTGAATATTATTATTATCATCTCTTACCTATATCATAATTTTCGTATGGCAAACAATTTACTGATTGAATATGATAATTCGATTCAATTCGATATTTGTTATTGATTTTGTTAACAATAATATTATTACTATTATTATTATTATTATTATTATTAGTATTATTACTATTATTATCTTGACGATGAGAATGATGAGGATGATGATGTTGATGACGGTAACGAGAATGGGAATGAAAATGAGGACGAAGAAGAGGAAGAGAAGGAGGAGGAGGAAGAGGAGCAGGAGGAAGAGAAGGACTAGGAAGAGGAGGAGGAGGAGGAGGAGGAGGAGAAAGGTGAGGATGAGAATGAGTCAAAAGTTGAAAATTAGGATGAGAATGATTCAAAGGTTGAAGATTACGATGAGAATGATTCAAAGGTTGAAGATTACGATGAGAATGATTCAAAGGTTGAAAATTAGGATGAAAATGAGAATGAGGCAAAGATTGAAGATTAGAAGGAGAATGAGAATGAGAATAAGAATAATGATGATGATCCTGTTGCTCACATTGATCTTGACGCTGATGTTGTTGCTGTTGCTGATGATGCTGATGCTGATGCTGATGCTGATGCTGTTGCTGTTGCTGATGACAACGCAACATGTTAGAATATTTCAATGAAATGTAAAGAGATGAAATCAAACGTATTGAAACATTCGTAATTATACGAAGAAGAAGAAAAATGCGCGTACATTCGTTCATACACAGGCACACATACACTTACACGCAAACAGACACGCGCGCACACACACGCGAATAGACACGCGGATAGAAACGCGGATAGAAACGCGGATAGAAACGCGGATAGACACGCGAACAGATATACCCTCTATCATGCAAAAAGATCAAAGAAAGAAAATAAAGAGAAAAAAAGAAAAAACGACGAGAAAAGGAGAGGAAGAGAGAAGAAGAGAGGAAGAGAGAAGAAGAGAGGAAGAGAGAAGAAGAGAGGAAGAGAGAAGAAGAGAGGAAGAGAGAAGAAGAGAGGAAGAGAGTAGAAGAGAGAAAGAGAGAGGAAGAGAGAAAGAGAGAGGAAGAGAGAAAGAGAGAGGAAGAGAGAAGAAGAGAGGAAGAGAGAAGAAGAGAGGAAGAGAGAGAAAAAGAGTCAAGGTGTTGAGAATAAAACCTGTTGATCTATATATATATATATATAATATATATATATATATATATATATATATATATATATATATTATACACGAAAACTTGATTCTCGATAAAGCTAAAAACGTAAGAATGTTTCTAAGCGAAGGTTAGAACGTATCTGCTGAGAAAGACTAAGAGAGAATTCTTTTATGACGAAGAACTCCGCCTATAAGTAAGACTCTCCATTTCCTTTTCCTTGGCCCATCCTTCTGCTATTTTTCTTGTATATATATATATATATATATATATATATATATATATCTTTCTTCCTCTCTCTCTCTCTCTCTCAGCGATCCTTTCCTTCAACCTTTAAATTTCCTCATTATTTGATATTTTCTTTTATTCAATGTATTTGCCAGTGTTTGTTCCGTCTGGAAAAGTACAGTGACAAAAAAAGGATGAGAAAGAGAAAGAGAGAGAGAGAGAGAGAGAGAGGGAAAGGATGAGAAAGAGGGAGAGAGAAGAGTGCAAGAGAGGATAAAAATTGAAAAGATAAAAATATTCTACGAAATAGAGTAAGAATAATAACAGTGTGAGAGAAAGACAGATAGATAATTAGTTAATTAGATAGAGATAGATGGATAGAGAGAAAGAGACAGAGAAAGAGAGAGAAAGGAAACGTAAATTCGCGAGTGCAAAGAAAAATAGGATATATATATATATAATCGATGAACAAACTTAATCTCGGATTTACGTTTATTAACGATAAAAAAAAAAAGATCTAATCGTTAGTAAGAAGAACAAGGGGTGCTGAAAGTAAATTGGTGGAAGAGGATGAAGGGAGATAACGATAGGAAGGGAGGTGAATAAATTTTTTGATACGCATTTATTTACATGATAAATATATTGACACGTATAAAAATATTAATATCATTATGATATCATCATCGTCGAGTATTATTTTATTGTTTGACAATTTTATTTATTTATCGATTAGTACTGATAATCTGATTTTTCTCATGTATTCGAATTAAAAGATAACAACGTGGAAACTTTTGCTGTGAAAGAGTCAATGGCAAGAAAAGAAAAGAAAAAGAAAAAAAAAGAAAGAAAGAAAAGAAAAAAAAAAAGAAAGAAAGAAAAAGAAAGAAAGGAAAAAAGTTATATCCAATGTTCCTATTGTTGTTTCATTTAAAATTGACATAACCCGACAAATAATTCTAATCTAATCACAAATAAATGAAATATGATTCACAATAATGTAATTCAATGTAATAAAAATCATGCTTGATGTTTCTAAAGTTCAATTACTATGTCCTTCGATATTCTATAACAAAGTAGAGAAAGTAAGAATATTTATTAATATGGTATAATAAAGCGATCACTAAGAAATAATTATAAGTATCTGATAAATAAGTAGAAGCATTCATTCCTTGACACATCGTAAATAAAATCCTTGAAAAATTACAATGGGTATTCTGTTAATGCGAAAATTTTTCGTGGGAAAACCCAAAGATCTTTCAAGTTGAAAACTTCACGTTCGATTACGATAAAACATTTCAACAATTTTCAAGTCGTACGTTTCGACTTTAGAAAAAAAAAACTTTGCTTTATCTTTTTTTTTTTTTTTTTTTTTAAATCCAATATATACGAATACCGTCAATGATTTTCCATTCGACTAATAGCTTATGCGTGTCTTCTTTCTTCTTTTTTGATCGAGAAAAGAAAAATTTGGAAAAATCAAAAAGCCAATGATTTCGTTCCGAATTAACGATAGTATTCATAGAAATTCATAGAGTATTACTGATAGTACTCTATAAAAAAAAAGATAAAATATTCGATGAATTAGTTGATAAAATCTTTTAATAGAAGAAAAAAACCTAAAATAAGTTTTATGAGAGTATAAAAAAAATATTGGAACTATGAAAATACACTTCCTCTTTAGTACTTACAGGTAACAAGAAGAAGTTGATCCTATGGTTTCTCCCAAAGAACCTCCATGGCACAAAACTTGTATATATATATAAAATGTAAAGAGTATTAGAATTAAAGTACAAAGTACTCACAGGTAAAGGAAAAAGTTTGTCCGCTGGTTTTTCCCAAGAAACTTCGATGATGCAATATATATATTGTATATATATATATATTTCTTTTTTTGAAGAAATTTTTTTTTTCCTACATCTTGAAGCAGTTTCTTAGAAAAAAAGTAAAAAAAAAAAAAAAAAAAAAAAAGAAAATATTATTATAAACATACAGATATATGCCTATATTATCAGGATTAACAAACAACTTAAATGAACATGTTGCAAGAAAAAAACATTTTTTAAATAAAACATGTCATAGTAGATTCGACGGTTAGTAAGATCGTAAAGAAAATAAGAAAAATCTATAAGGGACGTAAGGATAAAAACTATCATCGACGTGACTGGAATCTCATTAAAGTTGCACTTTTAAGTTCGGTAGTAAGACGATACCATGTGACACCAGAGGAAACACGTGTTCGCCAAATTTTTCTAAATCTCTAGTTATTTTCAAAGCTAAAATTTGAACATGTGTTTGGTGAACATTTGTTAAAGGTTCTTTGCAAACAGGTAAAACATCTGTTCTCTTAATGTCGGAGATGCCATTAAATAATACTTGAGATACACGTTTATTTTTTACTTCTTTTGTATTTTTTTTTTTTTTATTTTAAATATTTTATTAATTACACATTTATCATGTATCTATATACGATATATATATATATATATATATATATATATATATTTCATTTGTTATGATTAGAAATATCTACACGTTGAATCTGACCATGCATATTATATTCGACTTTACAGAAAAATTTAGGAACACTTGTTATCAAACCTAAGTGGAGAGTTAAAATCAGATAGTATTTCGGTTTATGAATCAGAAAAATATTTGCTTTGAAAATAACAAACAGATATACAACTATGGTTCGTAGTTCTTATCTGTTCATGGTTAATGCCATTAATTTGATTCTGTGTGTACAACTCACGAACATAACTAATAGTATCTTTTCTGAAATTATGTGTATGCATAGATATTGATATATTCGTAACGGTTGTATTTTATAAAATTTATATAATATATAATTATTAATCCTACCTGCCAAACAATAAATTATATAAGTTTCAACTATGGTTTTGCAAAGGTATCATTATTTCTGATCATCATAACAAGTATTAAATATAGATCTTAAGAAGCATTCATTCATACGTTCGTTCATTCATTCATTCATAAAATTGTAGAGTAGTTTCGAATAAAGAATAACAGCCATAAAGAAATAAGAGGCTATTATAAGAGAGGCACTTGTCGTCATTTGAAATCACAATGATCATGTGCTTCGTTTTTTTTTTCACAGAATTTAGAAGTCATATTTTAGGGGATGAAATCGATTTATATGTTAACTCTGTTTCATCAACCAAAATAAATTATATTATTTACAATTATTTATCATACATCGAACAATTATATTTCTTCAAAGTAATACAAATTTATTGAAAAATTTGAATAAATACAAATGAAACTTGTTAAATAAAACTTATTATGTAATTATTAAAAACAGATATAAAATTATAAAACTATAAAAGCATAAAATTTATTAAATAATTATTAGAGGGAATAAACTTACGTTTATTAAAAGAAATGAAATTTAATTATTCATTTAAATAAAACAATAATATATCTTAATTTTATCAAATTATATTATACCTAATTATATATTGCATTGTTATTAGAAATTCTTTATATCTTTTTTCCACCTTTTATTATAATTATTTACAAGAATATAATTATATAGAAAAACGTGTCATATAACAAAACGACAGTAATTCGAACGTGACCTTGAAAGATAGGGAGAATACGTTCGTCGCGTAACTCGGTCCTCGGGGCTTTCACTCTTGCCGAACATGTGTTCAGGACGCACAAGTATTTCGCTCGTGAACACATGTTCGTCAGAATTGTGCGACGACTCATAAATTCAAATTCACTAACCGATGGATAGGGTCCTAGGTGAATGACACATGTTGGACCATTGAATGTCCTTTGTCGTAAAAGACTAATGACCTATTATTTTTTTCTTTGCCTATCTCTCTCTTTATTTCCCTCTCTCTATCCTTCCTTCTCCCTCCCGCCTTTTCTCTCCCTCCCGCCCTTTCTCTCCCTCCCGCCCTTTCTCTCCCTCACGCCCTTTCTCTCCCTCCCGCCCTTTCTCTCCCTCCCGCCCTTTCTGCCGCCCACTCTCTTTCCTCTCTCTTTCTCTTGTTCAAAGTGACCAATGCTTTTCATTTTCGCACGACAAAAAACCGACCAATGACAATTTAGCTAATAAAAACCATTCGAAACAGTCTTCCAATGATTTACAAGAGAGGCAAAAAGTTTAGGATCCGGATGTGCAATTGAAAGGATAAAATAAAAAGTTTTAGAAAGAAAGACTTTAAAAAGATATATATCTTTTTAAAGTCTTTCTTTCTAAAACTTTTAGATATATATATATATATATATATATATATATATATATATATACATCTTATAACATATTAATTGTTAATTATTAATCAGGTGTATCATTAAATAATTTCTGGCGATATGCATTTTTTCCCAAACAGGGTGGTCTTCTTCTTTCACTTTCATTCTCTCTTTCTCTCTCCCCCTCTCATTCTTGTTTCGAATAACCACGATCTCAAACCATTACACTGATTCATTGACTCCGCCCTTCTCTTCTTT